CACCACACCTCGCACCCCGGGGCGGTTCCCAGGCGGGGCCCACACTGCCCTCCCGCCCAGGCGGTCTGTCCTCTCTTCCTTCCGACGCGCCCAGGGCCCAGTGGCACCCACCACACACGGCCGGTCCCCGTGTCTAACCGCGTCTTAGGACCGGAAGCGTCTCCAGCCCGAGGCCTCAGTACCCCCCACACTGCACCGGCCGAGGTCCTTTCCCACGGGGTCCCGGTCCTGGGGTGTCCTCATCCTCCCAGCTCCTCCGAGATGCCGCCTTTGGCCTCCCTGGCACCAGTGCAGGGCTGTCCTGGTGCCCGCCCTTCCCCTTCGATCCTCCCTGCTGAGCCCCTTCCCTCCACTCTGATCCCCTCTTTAAAAAATATATTTTTATTGATTTCAGAGGGGAAGGGAGAGGGAGAGGGAGCGAGAGGTAGAAACAGCAATGATGAGAATCACTGATCAGCTGCCTCTGCCTCCTGCCCGCCTCCCCCTGGGGGGGAGCCCACAACCAGGGCCTGTGCCCTGACCTGGAATTGACCCTGGACCTCCTGGTTCCTAGGTTGGGGCCGGGCACCCACTCTGCCCTCACACTCCCTGCGCCCTGCCTCTGGCAGAGGCTCCTCTGGTCCTGGGAAAGCAGGGCCCTAACCTCCTGCCACGTCGGCCCTTTGCGGGCAGCGCCCCCACCCTGGGAGCTTGTGTGACTCCCCCTTCCACTCCTCCTATCTCCACCGCCATCTCCCTAAAAGCAGGGACGTTCTGCCCCAAACGCTCTGGGTCTGTCTGCACTCTCGTTCTTGGGGTCACAGCCATGACCCCTGTACTGAACAGACCCCCTTATGCCCGGGGACCCCGAGCTGCTCTCAGGCTTACAGCCGAGGGCAGGTGTGTCCTCTCCGCCACCTACAATCGGATCTCCCCACCTCCAGGGTCCAGGCCGCCCATCACCGCCATGGCCACGGTCACAGCACGCCTGCCCATCATGTCCCCCGGGGGGTCCCCTCCCGTCCACTCCCCTCCATGGCAGCAACACCTCCGTCTTCAACCCACACAGTCAAACCCTGTCCTGCGCAAAGCCTGGCCCCGAAGGTCAAGCTCAGTGCCCAGCCCCGCCTCTCGCACAGCCCTGAGAAACGAGTCCCTGGGGGCTTTCAGGGCCCAGCACCAGGCCCTGCCCTCAGGCTGGGCACAACCCTGAGAGCCCCCGTGCCTCCCGGAGGCCAAACCGGCCCAGCGCCTGGGTGAGACCCCAGAGGAGGCCGAGGCAGAAGCCCTGCGCCTTCCCTGGGGTCGGGGGTCCCCTC